GGACCACGGCGCTGAAGACGCGGAAACAGGACACCAGAAAACGCGGCGACCGGCCCTGGCCCTACACCAAGTATTCTTCCCGGCGTTGGGGAGGCAGAATTGACATCTTCTGTGTGAGTTTAAGGCCTGCGACCTGATGGCTCCATACACATGTGTATTTCGGAACTGTCTCCGCGGGGGGGCTGGGCGGCACCCCAGCACCATCCCCGTCACTGATCAGCGCCGCTTGGGTCGTGGGGACCTTCACGTCTGCTCTCTCAGCAGCTCGCAAGTGTCCGTGCGGTGCTGTTAACTGCAGTCACCGTGCTGTTCATCAGATGCCAAGAACTCACTCATCTTGTGATTGGGAGTCTGTGTCCTTTGTCCCCGACCCCCCACCCCCCAACCCCCAGCAACCTCCACCCTGCTCTCTGTCTCTAGGAGTTCAGCTTCTTCAGGTCCCACCCCTAAGTGGGATCACACAGTGTGTCTTTCTCTGTCTGACTTACCTCACTTAGCACAACGCCCTCAAGGGCCGTCCTTCTTCCCGTGGCTGAGTAACGGTCCCCCGTGTGTGTGTGCGTGTGCCACGTCCTTCATGCATTCATCCCAAGACAGGCACTTCTTGGCCTCCGTGCGTTGTGCGGGGAGCCAGGGGCCCAGGCGTCTCTTCCGGATCCTGATTTCCTTTCCTTCCAACACAGACACACGGAAGGGGGATTGCTGGCTTGTACAGCAGCTCTGTTTCTAACTTTCTGAGGAACCTCCGTACTGTTTTCCACAGCGGCTGCACCGGTCTGCGTTCCCCCCTGCAGTGCGCAAGGGTCCCTTCCCCACGTCCTCACCAGCACTCGTCGTGGGCTGTCTTCCTGGTGACAGCGTTCTGACAGGTGCGAGGTGCCAGCTCACTGTGGTTTTGATTTGCATTCCCTGATGACGAGTGATGTTGAGCATCTTTTCTTGTGCCTGTTGTTCAGCTGTGTGTCTTCTTGGAAAAGAAGTCTTGGGAAATGTTCTTGGGGAATATTTCTTGGGAAAATGCCTATTCAATTCCTCTGCCCGTTTTTTAATCAGATTTTTTTTTTTGCTATTGCATGAGTTCTTTATATGTCTTGGGTGTTAACTCCCTATGAGACGGATGGTTTGCCCATGTTTTTCTCCCGTTCCATAGGCCGCCCTTCCATTTTGTTAGTTGTCTCCTTTTTTGCCATGCAGAGGCCCTTCGGTTTGCGGTAGCCCCATTTTTTTTTGAGTGCCTGTGCTTGTGTCACATCCAAAAGCTCGTTGCCAAGGCCAGTGTCAAGGAGCTTTTCCCTGAGGCTTACGGTTTTCAGGTCTTATGTTTAAGTCCTTAATCCATTATGAGTCAATTTTTGTGAGTGGTGTAAACAGAGGCCCAGTTTCATCCTTCGTGCGTGGCTGTCCATGTTCCCAGCACCGTGTGCTGAGGACTGTCCTCTCCCTTCCGGCACTCCTGGCCCCCTGGCACAGACTGGTCGACTGGTGTGCTCGGGTTTATTTCTGGGCCCTGGGCTCTGCTCCGCCGGCCTGCGTGACTGTCGCTATGCCCGGACCACCCTGGTTTGATCGCCGTAGCTGTGTGGAGCGCGACGCCTCCAGCTTTGTTCTGTCCCAGGACTGCTGTGGCTGCGAGCCGTCTTCTGTGGCCCCACACGCACGTTAGGACTGTTGTTCCTGTGTCTGTGGAAGCGCCGCAGGCGTGCTGAGAGGGGCTGCGTTCACTCTGCAGACTGAACGGGTCGTCAGTCTAACAACACTAACTCCTCCGGCCCAGGAACAGGGGTGTCGGTCCGTTTATTTGTGTCTTCTTCAGCTTCTCTCAACAAGGTCTTCTGCTTCTCAGGGTGCAGACCTTTCACCTCCTCGGTTAAATTTATTCCTACATATTTTTATTATTTTGGTGCTGTTGTGAGTGGGATTGTTTCATTCCCTTTTTAGGTATTTCATTGTTAATGGATAGAAATGCAACTAATTTCGTTTTTGTTTTATTCTTTTAAATTTTGGGGGGAGGAGGTAATTGGGGTGATTGATTGGTTGATTTTAGCGGGGGCACTGGAGATTGAACCCAGGACCTCCCACATGCTAATTAGCCTGTGCTCTACCCCCGAGCTACGCCCACCCCCATGAAACGCAACCGATTTCTGTATGCTGAGTTCGTATCCTGGAATTTCACTGAATCTGTTGACTAGTTCTCAAAGGTTTGGGGTGGAATCCAGGATTTTCTATACACAGGATCACATCACGTGCAAATAGAGGTGATTTTATTTCTTCACGTCGAGCCTGGATGCCTTTCAACTTCCTTTCCTTGCCTCGCTGCTCTGCCTGGGACCTGCAGTGCCGTGCCGAGTAGAGGTGCTGAGAGGGGGCGTCCGGGCCTGGTTCTGACTTCGGAGGAAACGCTTCCGCCCTGTCGCCGCGGGGGACGAGGCCGGCTCTGGGCTCGTCCCGCGTGGCCTTTGCCGTGTGCAGCTGCGTTCCTTCTGTTCTCCGCTTGCTGAGGTCTCATCGTGAAAGGACGCTGAACTTGGCCAGGCCTTTTCTGCTTCTCTTGAGATAATCAGGATTTTCACCTTTTATTCTATTAACATGGTGAATCACAGTGATTGATTTGCACATGTTGCACCATCTTTGCATCCCAGGGACCAACCCCGCTTGACCCTGGTGTAGGGTCCTGCCAGTGAACTTGTGAATTCAGTTTGCTCACACTCTGTCGGGGACTTTCACATGCGTGTTCATCAGGGACCCTGGCCTGCCGCTTTCTTGTGCTTCTTGTGCTGGCTTTGACATCAGCGTAGTGCTGGCCTCGTGAGTTTGGGAGTGTTCCCTATTCAGTTTTTTGGAAGAATTTGAGAAGGATTGGCATTAATTTTCTTTAAACGTTTGGTAGAGTTCACCCATGAAGTCATCTAGTCCTGGGTTTTCCTTTGTTGGGAGGTTTTTGATTACGGATTTAATCTTTTTACGTGTAATAGTCTGTTCAGATTATTTCTTCGTGGTTCAGTCTTGGTAGCTTGTATGTTTCTAGGAGTGTGTCCGCTCTTCCCAGGTTACCCAGCTTCCTGGTGTGTAAACAGTCGTCCCTTACGATCCTTTGTGTTTCTGTGCTACCAGCTGTAATGTCTCCATTCTCTTTGTCGATTTTATTTATGAGCCCTCTCTTTTCTCCCTCGTTAGTCCAGCTAAAGGGTCTGCAAGCCACACAGAGGTCTCTGCCTCTTACGTGACCCAGTCCCACAGCTCCCGCAGAGGGACTCCTGCTGTGGCCGAGGTGGGGTGCACACGAGGGACGCGCGTCTTGCTGTTGTCCTGAGTATCTTACCGTGTATGAGGTTGGTCTTTCTGAGATTCTGCAGCGTCAGTGCTGTTAAAATAAAATCCCACCCATTTTTTAAACTGGGATAGGAGAACGAATTTTTTTTTAAAACCTGACAAATGTGAAAATAATCAAACCTTTTGGGGAGAAAATGAAAGGCATGTCCTCCAGGTGTGGTAATGCACCCTGAAGGTACCACAGCTGAAGTAGCCCAGTCTGGACAGAGGGAGAGAAACACAGACCCGCGTAAGGAGGAGGAGAGGCCAGCAGTGCCGGGGCCCCCAGGGGACCTGACAGCCGCATGGGTGGGGTTCAGGGCGGACGGAGGGTGGTGCCGGGGCCAGGGGCTCTCCACTAGAAGGGACAAACCCAGATCCCATGGCGCACCAGCTCAAAGATTCCAAATGGCTTAGAGCTAGATACTTACAAATTATAAAACACATTGGAAGAAACAGGAGTAAGCTGTTTTTATCGTCTTGGGCTGGGGAAGGTCCTCCTAAGACGCCAGTGCAGGAAAAACATTATCCAATTTCATGTGCTGAACTTTAGACACTAGGATTTTTGAATATCAAAAGGCACCGAACAAAGTCAAAGGTAAATGAGAGAACGTCTGTGTGACACACGACCAGGGTCAGCCCCCTCAAGAGCCGAGAGTGCGTGCGCCCCCAAAGGCAGTGTCTGGGTGTGCACGGAGAGGAGAAACTGAAACAGCGCAGAGAGGAGCAGATGCTGGTCACATTCATACCCACAGGAACACAAATCAACACGAGACCCGGCGATGGGGGAGCTGCAGAAACCTGGGGTGGGGGGTCGTACACATGCTGGGATCCGCCCGTTCCTACCAAGGAAGTGGGCCACCCGCTTGCTGGGACTTGTTGGGACTGAGCCTCGTGGACACAACGTGGATGCACACAGACCTCCACGTGAGGACGTCCCAGGAAGCACTGGTCATGACAGCAACACGTGGGCACTGCCCTGAGAGGCGAGGGGACAGACCGCCACCCCGGAGACAGACCCTGGCAGAGATAGGTCTGGAGAGGGGCGCCTCGGCCCGTTGCCTGTGAAAACCAAACAGCCCTGGAACCCCAGCAGCAGCGGGAGGCAGGACGGTCCAGACGGGTCACGAGGCCACCTAGGGAGAGTCGGGCCAGCAGGGACCCCACCACTGAGCCGTGCTGGGTCCCGCCCTCCATGCAGTCTGTTGACCCTGCACCAGGGTGGGCCCAGGGCTGGAGGGGGAGACTCACCGGTTGGGGGATGGGGGGAGCGGCCATCGGGGACCTGCCTCCCCGGAGCCACACGGCCCAGGGCTCTCCCCTGTCCCAGCAGAGCAGCCACACTCTCACCTGCACAAATAGAAAAATCCTGAATTTCAAAACGTTTTTTGAAGCATACACCTGAGAAAGAGAGTCAGGGCAGGTGCGGGGAGAGGGCCTGACCCCAGGAGTCTGGGTTGGTACAGCGGGGCCAGCACTGGCCCCAGACGTGAAGAGGGGTGAGGCCCCCGGGAATCAGCGCGCCACTGCGCGGGGCGGGGTGGGGGGCGCTGCCTCAGCCCGCTTCCCCCTGCAGAGAGCAGGTGTGGTCCCCAGAAGCTCAGTCCCTGGCCCCCAGGAGCAGCGGTGTGCGGGCACAGGCGCCACCATGGGGGCCACGGCCCCCGCCCACCAGCTCTTTGGCGCCGCAGGCTCACATCTACTCTCTGGGCGCCACGCTGAAGGCAGCCCTCGAGTACGTGACGGAGCCCGAGCCCGAGCCCCAGCTAAGCCAAGACCTGGAGG